GTCAGGTCCCGCAGGGCCCTAGTCTCTTGTGACAGAGCGTTCCACCAGATTGGAGCCGCAGCCGAGAAAGCCCTGGCTCTAGTTGAGGCCAGCCTAACCTCTCTGAGGCCTGGGACCTTCAGGATGTTTTTATTTGCAGACCGTAGGTTCCTCTGTGGGGCATACCAGGAGAGGCGGTCCCGTAGGTACGAGGGTCCTAGGCCGTATAGGGCTTTAAAGGTTAAAACCAGCACCTTAAACCTGATCCTGTACTCCACCGGGAGCCAGTGCAGCTGGTATAGTACCGGATGAATGTGATCTCGCAGCGAAGACCCCATAAGGAGTCTCGCCGCGGCATTCTGCACCCGCTGGAGTTTCTGGGTCAGTCTCAAGGGCAGCCCCACGTAGAGCGAGTTACAATAATCCAGTCTGGAGGTGACCATCGCGTGGATCACAGTGGCTACGTCAGGGCGAGAGAGATAAGGGGCCAACTGCTTAGCTTGGCGGAGATGAAAAAATGCCGCCTTTGTTATAGCTGTAATCTGCGCCTCCATAGAGAGGGAGGTATCGAAGATTACACCCAAACTCTTAACGGACGGTGCTGGCACTAATTGCACCCCCGCAAGAGATGGGAGTTTCCCCCCCAATCCCATATCGTCCCGTCCCAGCCAGAGGACCTCTGTCTTCGAAGGATTTAACTTCAACCGGCTTCCACGTAACCATCCAGCCACAGCTTCCAAACATCTGGTCAGTGTGTCTGGGGCCGAGTCAGGATGGCCATCCATCAACAGATAGAGTTGGGTGTCATCGGCATACTGATGGCAACCCAGCCCAAAACTCCGGACAAGCTGGGCGAGGGGCGCATAAAGATGTTAAAAGCATCGGGGAGAGTATCGCACCCTGAGGCACTCCACACACCAAGGAGTGGCGCGATGACAATTCCCCCCCAAGCGCCACCCTCTGTCCCCGACCGGAGAGAAACGAGCGCAGCCATTGAAGGACTGTGCCCTGGATCCCCACGTCGGCAAGGCGGTGGTCCAGGAGTTCGTGATCAACCATGTCGAAGGCTGCTGACAGGTCTAGAAGAATCAGCAGCCCCGACCCGCCTCGATCCAGCTGCCTGCGGAGATCATCTGTTAGGGCGACCAGAGCCGTCTCGGTCCCATGACCAGTGCGGAAGCCAGACTGGAATGGATCCAGAGCCGATGTTTCATCCAGAAACCTACCAAGCTGTTCAGCAACCGCTCTCTCAATCACCTTACCCAGGAATGGAAGATTCGAAACCAGGCGGTAATTGGATAGATCTAAGGGTTCTAATGATGTTTTCTTTAAGAGCGGGCGCACCACTGCCTCCTTCAATTCCCCTGGAAATATCCCGGTGCCAAGGGACAAATTGATGATATCCCCCAGGGGGGCCCGCACCTCGCCTGGACACGCTCTAATCAGCCAAGACGGGCACGGGTCAAGAGGACAGGTGGTGGGCTTTCCAGCTCGGAGGAGTCTGTCCACATCGGCTGGGGATATCCGATCAAAGTGGTCCAATACTGGACCCGAGGACAGTCGAGGGGCCTCCAGTTCCTTTATTGTATCCAAATTGGCAGGGAGGTCGTGGCGGAGCAACAGGACCTTCTCCGCAAAAAAAGCTCGCAAATGCCTCACAGCTGTGTGTCAGATTGTTATTTAAATTTGGCTGTCCTTCAAGGGACGTTAAAGACCTAATTATACTAAATAATTGTGCCGGGCGAGAGCTAGCGGATGCAATGGAGGCCGAGAAGTAAGACTTCTTAGCGGCCTTCACCGCCATCTCATAGGTTTTCATAAAAACCCTATAAGATGTTCTTGAGGCTCCGTCACGGGCACCCCGCCATACTCGCTCTAGCCGTCTGAGGTCCCGCTTCATTTTCCGAAGCTCCTCGGTAAACCAGGGAGCCCGGTTTCTGCGGAGTCGCAGAGGGCGCTTAGGTGTGATCTCATCAATGGCTGCCAGGAGCTGGGTATTCCAGCCCTCAACAAGCTCAGTCAATGAGTCGCCACGGGGGAGCAAGGTCCCGCAAGGCTTGACGGAATCTATCAGGGTCCATCAGCCTCTGCGGGCGAGCCCAAATCGGCTCGCCACCTAAGCAGGGTGGGGGTGGAAAGTCAATCCTGGCTTTCAGAGCGTAGTGATCAGACCATGGCACCTTAATTGAAGGAGACATGATCACATCTATACCTACGCCAAAGATCAAATCCAGCGTGTGGCCTGCTTGATGTGTGGGGCCTGAAACAAACTGGGAGAGCCCTAGTGTTGCCATGGAAGACACCAGGTCCAGAGCCTGTGAGGAGGGAGTGGCATCAGCATGGATGTTGAAGTCCCCAATACCAATAGGTTAGGGAACTCCAAGGCCCAGCCGGCCACCGCCTCCAGCAGGCCTGACAGGGTGGCTGCTGGTGCGCTAGGTGGCCGGTACACCAGCCAGACAGCCAAGCTCACCTCAGAGCCCCACACCAGGCCAACACATTCAATGCCAGGGATCGATGGCGATGGTAGAGCCCTGAAAGGACAATCTTCCCGGATTAATAATGCCACCCCTCCCCCCCGGCCCACAGTCCGTGACTGGTGGAGGACGGAGAAACCCGGGGGCACCATCTCTCGTAAGGTAACTGTTGCCCCTTCGCATACCCAGGTCTCCGTCACACAAGCCAGGTCGACCCCCTGCGAGGTAAAGAAATCTCGCAGAGTGGTGGTTTTGTTGCCTATAGACCTGGCATTGCACAACACCAGTGACGGAGGTGAGTAATCCTTGCTCACCCTACCCTCGTCCCTCGGGATGGGGCGCAGATTGGAAGGGGTACGAGCATATCCGTATCTCGATCCCCTTCTACCATCAGCCAGCTTTTTCACTTTAAAAACCCACTTACAACTACCATCAGCCAGCTTTTTCACTTTAAAAACCCACTTACAGCTTATGGGCTTTTTACCTTCAGGCAATTCTGTAGGTACAAACACATTGATGCTTAGCAGAGAGTTATACTCTGCCTGCATTGCCTTTAACCACGACTCTTTCTCTAGAGTAGGTAACTCTTGCACTTCAAAGTTTTCTGGCTCAGTTACACAAACCTGGTTTATGGTGGCTGGGAACCCATAACGGTCTGGAGGTTGACCTTTATTACTTCTTGCAGACCTTCTTGGTTCATTAATCTCACCCCCTGGGCTACCTTCAGGACTGCTTTTGGGGTGGATTGATTCTGGAGATTTACCTCCTCCTGTCCCTGTTGCACTTTCTTCCCCCCCCTGCTCCATGCTAGCAGCTGGAGAAAAATGCTCAACCTTTACCTCCTCCCTTTCAGTTTCTCTGGGAGAGCTGCCAATTCTTAGCTTTGTTTCAGCTGCCTTAACAGGTACGCTCGGCAGTAAAACTTTTCTGGCAGCAGGTTTGCATGTATCTTGGGCCAATTTCTTTGCTCATTAAAGCTGGCTGATCGACTATAACTCAAAAGATTTTTATCATCTTCAAACCTGTAGGCTTTCGTACCACTTTCATACCCAAGAAATAGCAACTGCTGTGCCCTTTTCCCACCTTTTCTTCGGTTCTTTACAGGTATGTCAACCCATGCCTTTGTCCCAAAGATTCTCAAATGTTGCAAACTGGGACTTTTGTTATAGAGAATTTTATAAGGTATGTCATCTAGTACCCTTGACCATAAGCGATTCCCAATATAATTCGCGGTCTTAATACTCTCAGCCCAGTACTTAATTGGAAGATTTGCATCTGCTAACAATGCTTTCATTTGTGTCTGCAAGACACCTCCCCTACGCTCTGCTACTCCGTTCTCCTGAGGCGTTGCCACATTGGTAAGTCTATGTTTAATCCCTTGGGAACGCAACCAGTTTCTTAGGGAGCTTGCCATAAACTCTCCTCCCTTGTCTGTCTGAATAGAGCACACCTTTTCGCCAAGTTGCCTTTCTACCCTTCTTATCCAGAACTTCAAAGTTTGGGCAACGTCAGACTTTTGCTTTAATGGATAGACCCAGCCAAATCTAGAATAGTCATCCACTAGGATCAAACAGTACTTGTTATGGGAGACACTTGGTGGAAAAGGACCAGTTACATCAGCATGAATCAACTCCAGTGGTTTTTTGGTTTCTCTCTGGCTTGCTCTTGCTACTGGGCAAGCCCTGCTTTTAACCTCCTTGCAGATATTGCAGTCTAAGTAATTATCACAACTTTTAATGTTTTACATCCCCCCCACACAACTCCAATGTTTTGTTCAGCACCTTAAAGCTAGCATGAGCCAGACGCCTGTGCAGGTAGATGAATACACATATCATGGGTTGGGACATTTTGCACATTCGCAACCTTAGACTCACACTGCAGTACATACATATTAGTTCTAAGGTTAGCATTTGCCAACACTGCCCCATTTTGCTTTATCTGGCACTGATCTCCCACAAAGTTTACTTCAAAGCCTGCTTTTGCCAAGTCTGGAATACTCAGGAAATTGTTTTGCAAACTAGGCACACACAACACATTCCTGAATGTGTGTCCCAGCTGTGGGAACACAATCTCCCCCTCACAAACCACATTAGCTTTCTGGCCCGTAGCAAGACTTACATGTTTTTTGTTTGAAGCCCTAGCATCAGTTAGCAATCCTTTTCTTTTACAAAAGGTTTGAGAAGCTCCACTGTCCAGAACCCACAGCTCTTCATTTTCTTGACCATCTGCAGACACCCAAGCGGTGGTCTCTCTCTGCTGCCTCTTGTGCTTCTGCTGTTTTTGTTGTTTTCTCGGGCAGTCCCGAAGCAGATGTCCACTGGACTTGCAGCAAAAACACCTTTTTACTTTGTTGACCACCAGCTGGTCTGCAGCAGCTCCTCCTGGCTGTTTCTCCGGCTCCCAACACCTCTGGTCTTCCCGGCTGTTGTTCCCTCTGGGATGCTCCAACAGCTGGGCTGAGGTCATCTTTCTCTCTGCACGCCTGTCCTCCTCTGCATACAACCGTCCGGTAACATATTCCAGAGTCAGCTTATCAGTCTCTACCTACTCGAGGGAGTTGACCAGCATATCATAGCTGTCATCAAGGGAACTCAGTACTATAAAGACTTTGTCCTCTTCCCCCACAGGCCTCCCTCTTAAGGCTAGCTCCTGGAAACAGCCTGTTAGGAATTTTAGGTGGTTCACCAGGGAGTCCCCCGATTTCTTCCGACACTGGTACAGTCTCCTGGTCAATGTTATCAGTGAGCCAGCTGTCTCTCGCACATGGACAGCCTTGAGCGCATTCCACGCCTCACTTGCCGTCACCTTATCAGCTACGTAGACTAGCTGGCTGTCGTCCACTCCAAGAATGATCGTAGCCAAAGCTTTCTCATCCTTTTCTAGCTGGGCCTCTGCTAGTGCCAGCTTTTCATCGTTGTCCTCATCCTCCTCAGGGGGCTGCGGTGGAGTTTCCACCACCTTCCACAGGCCCTCACGCTTGAGGAAGTGTTGCATGCGGACCGACCAGATGCTGTAGTTCGTGGCCGTCAGCTTCTCCAGCAGCACGGCAGTTCTGGACTGCTCCATCCCTGCAGCTCACCTCCAGCACCCACGGCTAGATAACTGCCACCTGTACTCTTGCGCAGCGGAAGCGTGCTGGGCCCATAACCCTGTCGCGAATTCCTCACGGCGCTTTTAGCGAACGCTCAGAGTCCCAGGTTTCTTTTCAGTGCAGTCTTTTTAATGTGAGCTATATACAAGTATTTACAAAAACAGTCCATACAGAGTACCTGCTCCTTAAGGCAAACGAATACTCTCCACCACAGCACCACAACACCAAAGCACAACCACCACCACAACCACAATTACTGTTGAACAGGCTTTCCTTTTAAAACAGGTGATAGCCAATCACATTCCTGCTGAGTCACTCTGACCCAGCACTTCACAGAGTATTGCATCAGCCTGTTGAAGCCTGCAGACTTACTCATCATCCTGCAAATCCCAACAGGGACGAGCCATTTCGTGAATATATAATGTGTTTTGACATAATAATGCTGCAGGAAACTTGGGCAACTGACAACATAGTTCTTGATGGTTACCACGCCTACAAAATCAAGGCCTCTAAACCGCTCAGAAGGGGACGACCGAGGGGGGGGGGGGCCTAGTAACTCTGGTTTCCACTCAATTGGCGTCACAGGTTACTGGGTGCTCAGTTTTCGAGCAGCTGGCGCTGTGGATCACTTTGCATCTGGAATCCAAGAGTATCATTCTTGTTTCAGCTTATATCCCACCATATACAGTGCAAACACAGATCGAGAGCACATGGCATAAATTTCATAGTTTCCTTTATTCCCTACAATTTAAGCACCCCGGATCGCCATTTTACCTAATGGGAGATATGAATGCCACAATAGGCTCAAATGATGATAGCCTAGAAATAAAATTCCCAATATTAAGAGATCTTAAGGAAAATAGCGCCCTCTTTCTAAACCCTCCCCCTCGTAGACATTCAAAAGATTGTCAAATCAACTATGCTGGCTTTTGCCTGGCTTTTTTACAAATAAGTCTTGACCTTATCATTGCTAATGGGGCATTCCCCAGGGACAGAGAAGGCGAGTACACATTCATAAATACAAATGGAGCCAGCACAGTAGACTACTGTCTCACTAACAGGGAGGCCTTCGAATCATTTTAAAAATTCACCGTAGATAATAGGACTGAAAGCGACCACCTACCTCTAATCGTCTCCACTACTGGCCAAAATTCAATTCAGCGCTCTTATATAGAACATGAGGATATAGATAAAGCAAATGATCCAGCATTGCGTAGAAAAAAATGGACACCTGACATAGCAATTGCAGTTGAGAATAGATTGAATTCACAAACTGCAATTAAGTTAAGATCAATTATAATAAATAATTTATCAATAGATTCCTCCCTGACGGCTTACGAAAATCTCATTGAGTCCTTGCAGGATGTGGTCTCTGTCAACATAAACTCAGCTGGCAAGCCACGCACTGCTAAAGGTGCAAGAGTGCCGCACAAAGAAGGAAGCCTTAAGGAACGCTTATTTGGCCTATAGAAACGCTGGACTAAATTACTTACCTCCATCTTATTTCAAAATCATAAAAGAGTATAAAGCCCTTTTGGCCTCAAAAAAAGGGCAGTCCTGGTCCCTGCTATGGAATGCCTCACTAAACAATGAAACTAAAGTCTTTTGGCAACTGGTCTCCGACTCAATGAAAAATAGTTCTTCAGCCCCCAGCTGTGTCATTCCAGCTCAGGTTTGGGAGAACCACTTCAGAAATATATTTATGGAAAATCCAAACCTCCCTTCCAGCTTCCAGGATGATGACAGGGCAGAATTGTCACTGCTCCCTAATTGGAGGCCGGTTACTGTGGAGGAAGTCCATACATTAATTGGGAATCTGAAGAGTGGAAAGGCTCCGGGGAAAGACTTTATCCCAGCGGAGTTGATTACATCAAACCAGCACTGGTGGGCTCCGCTTCTGGCAGTACTTTTTACGGTAGTAAATAACTTGAGTAAGGTACCATATAGCTGGAAACATGCTATAGTAGTCTCAATCTTTAAGAGAGGCCACCCAAATGTACCTTCCAATTATAGGCCAATTAGCCTGCTCTCAATAATTGGGAAGCTGTATGCCCGTTTCCTCAGTAGCAAACTGACTTTTCTAAATGAACATAATATACTATCTGAAGCCCAGGCAGCTTTTCGTGAGAACTATTCAACAACAGACCACTGTCTAATGCTGTTCTTCCTAGCCGAGAAGTATACCAGGCCTCTACAGGGTAAACTCTTTGTGGCCTTCATGGATCTGAAATCAGCATTTGACTCCATCCCCAGATCCCAGCTATGGTCCAAATTAAATCTGATTTTGCAGGACTAACGACTTTCTTATAAAACGGCTTTCTTATAAAAGCCCTGTACAATGGAACCAAACTGCAGGTCCGATGTGGTTGACAGGGACAGCTATCGAACAGCATCGAGATGACTAGGGGGGTGAGACAGGGTTGCATTTTGGCCCCCACATTGTTTTCTCTATTCTTAAATGACCTAGAAGAGAACTTAATGGATCCAGATGGACACATTCCAAAAATAGGAATGAGAAGTGTGGGAATGTTCAGGGATGCAGGAGAGGATATATTGACTGTTTATATCCTTATCCAACTTGTGTTAACAAGTTCCCAAAATATCAGCAGAGTAAAACATTCCCCTTTTATTTAAGTTTGCAACGGCAGCATGTGCTCAGGCTTGCTTAAGCCTCTATAATAATCAATCTGGTAATTTTCCCTTTATTCCCTCTTAAAATAGAAGACACGACACAGTCCTTTATAAAAGTACAAAAAGAGTTTACTCACATTCTGTTCACAATCGGATCCCAGAAGGCAGACTTAAACTTAGTGAAGTAATATACATTTGCAATCTATCATATAAGAAGATAGTCCCTTTCTCCTCTCTTGGCTGGGAGCCAAGAGGGCATCTTTCACTTAGCAGATGTTGCTTCTTCGAAGGAAGAGAAGAGAGAGAGTGAGAGAGAGATGGCTGCCCCTGCCCTGTGCTTTTATCATTTACCTGCACAGGTGAGGCCACACCCACCTCTAGTCACATGCGGAGGAAGTCTGTCCCAGGAAGTTTACCTGCTGGCTGGACAAACATCCCTCCCCATGTCTAAACATGTACACTCTAGGAATGTTGTAATTGACTGCTCTTGTCTTTTACATCCCACAAGAAGGACCCCCTTGCTGTTATATGCTGATGATGCGGCCATCATCTCACGTTCCAGACCGGGTTTGAATTATCTGCTGAGGAAATTCTCTGATTACTGTTCTGGAAATGGTTTATCCATTAATTATGAAAAATCTAAAATTTTAGTTTTCGAAAGAAGCTGCTCCCATTCTAAATGGGTGCTGGATGGCCATAACCTTGAACAGATAAAATACTTCAGTTATTTAGGGCTCACATTCCATCATACAGGATCTTGGAAGCACCACTGGCAAACCTCCCTTCAAAAGGCGGAGATTACAAAGCTAGCCATACTCAAATTCTTTTTCACAAAGGGCGGCAAATATGTTCCAGCAACCTTAAGGGTTTTCAAAGCAAAACCCGTTTCCCAACTCCTGTAAGCAGCAAATGTCTGGCATAATGGGGACCTGCCAAAGCTAGATGGCTTTCAGGGAAAATTTCTACGATCTCTGTTGCAGGTACCCAACTGCGTCCCCAACTCCGTACTTTTGTTAGAAGCTGGTGAATGCCCAATTTCAACTAAAGCGTGGTGGGCTGCCCTAAAACATTGGCTCAGGATTTCAGTGTTTAATCTAGGGAAGGGTTTGTACCAACACTTGACCAATGAGGAATTTGTCAGCCACCTCTATTGGTCTGTCTCCCCCCCAACTGTATTACCTGGGTTATGAAGGCACCCAAAAGATGTTAAAGCAAAGATTATGGGATAATGCACACAGTGACTTGTGATCTCGATCACACACAGTCTGTAGTCCGCTGGCAGTAGGAGTACAATATGGGTATGTCTTTAAGTTAACATCTTACATTAAAAACCTGACAGTACCAAACTATCGAAGGCTTTTCACCAAAGTCAGACTAAATGTCTTTCCTTCTGCAGTGTTGGATGGCAGGTTGAGAGGAGCTCCCTACCAGGACAGACTTTGCTCGTGTGCTCAAGACATCGAATCCATAAAACATATTTTGTTGCATTGTGCAAAATATGAGCAAGCCAGGGCTGAACTGATACTACCCTTGCTGGTACCTTTCCCGGGAAAATCAGAGGCTCACTATGTCAGGTTCCTACTGGAAGACCGGACAAATGCTATTTTTTTTTAAATGATATTTATTAAGGTTTCCAATAAAAAGAACATATCAATAAAAAATTAAAAAGAAAAAAAGAAAAACACACAGTTCAAAAATACACAATACATAATCCAAAAAACAACAACAACAAAAGACAAAAAAGAAAACATTTAAAAACAATACCACCTTTTCCTTACCATTTTTTAAATTTACTTATTTTCTGGACCTCCTCATACCTCCCTCTTTTGTATTCCAGTTCAATTTGTTTGTCCAGCAATTTCTTTCCCTCTTTTTTAATCCCAATCCTTAATCTTAATATAATATAACATTAAATTTTTACCTCTTAAAAGCCAAATTTCCATTTCCTTTAACTTTTTTAATCCTAATCCTTAATCTTGATCTATATATAACTTTAAAGCCTGTATAGCTAGAAGCCACTTATTTTCAGTCCAACATCACTCTAACATTCTTTAATTTTGCAATGTTTCTGCAAATAGTCTTTGAATTTCTTCCAATCTTCCTCCACCGACTCTTCTCCCTGGTCACGGATTCTACCAGTCATTTCCGCCAATTCCATATAGTCCATCATTTTCATCTGCCATTCCTCCAGTGTGGGTAGCTCTTGTGTCTTCCAATACTTTGCGATAAGTATTCTTGCTGCTGTTGTAGCATACATAAAGAAAGTTCTATCCTTTTTAACACCATATGGCCGACTATGCCCAGGAGAAAGGCATCTGGTTTCTTCAGGAAGGTATATTTAAAT